TCTAACCTTAAAGTGGGCGGAGCCTAGACGTGTTTAGGCTCATTTTGAAGCTCTTGACCCGCCAAATTTGAATTTTAAGTTTTTTTCAAAAGTTTTAAAGTAGTAGAGAATTCAAAAAGTATGGGTTTTTCTCTGCGTTTAAATCTGAATTTCGTCGTTTTCAGGGTAAATTGGAGACTTAATTAGGGGGTAATTACAGGACTTTTTGTTAGAAAAGGGAATTTTTGGAGTTTCCATGAAGTTTTCGAAATGTTCAAATTTCAGAAATTCAGAAATTCAGAAATTCAGAAATTCGGAAATTCAGAAATTCAGAAATTCAGAAATTCAGAAATTCAGAAATTCAGAAATTCAGAAATTCAGAAATTCCAGGAAATTCAGAAATTCAGAAATTCCAGGAAATTCAGAAATTCAGAAATTCCGAAATTTAGAAGTTTTCGAAATGTTCAAATTTCAGAAATTCAGAAATTCAGAAATTCAGAAATTCGGAAATTCAGAAATTCAGAAATTCAGAAATTCAGAAATTCAGAAATTCAGAAATTCAGAAATTCCAGGAAATTCAGAAGTTCAGAAATTCAGAAATTCAGAAATTCAGAAACTCAGAAATTCAGAAATTCAGAAGTTCAGAAATTCAGAAATTCAGAAATTCAGAAATTCAGAAATTCAGAAATTCAGAAATTCAGAAATTCAGAAATTCAGAAATTCAGAAATTCAGAAATTCAGAAATTCAGAAATTCCAGGAAATTCAGAAATTCAGAAATTCCGAAATTTAGAAGTTTTCGAAATTTTCAGAAAATTCTTAAAAACTTAAAAACTCTAAAACGATCAAAAATATGAAAATTTTGGAATTTTCTGAATTTTTCCATAAATTTCAAAAAAAATTTAAAACTCATATCGTAATTCAAATCTTATGGGGATCTCTAAAAACTCAAAAAGTTTCTAATTTTTCAAAAAAAAATTTTTTGGTCAGAATTTCAAAGTTTTAAAAAAATAGAAACTTCCTCTTCCCTCGGTTTTCTCAAGAAGATTATAGCTTCAGACATATACATATGTACATTTTTTACACAAAAAAAAACAAAAAATTTCTTCTTTTTGCCTCCTCTAACAAAAAATTTTTATGACTAAAAAACATTTTTTTCGCATTTTGTGGGAAAAAACGAGAGTAGTGGGGAAAAATAAATTAATCTTGAGAGAAAAAAAAAGTTAAGCTGACTCGAAAAAAAAGTTTTTTTTTCAACATAAAAATAAATTTTTTGCCTCCGGGGGATTTCCAATTTTATTATTTTCGTTTTCTTCTTTCAGGAGGAAAAGGGTCCAAAAATAGGAATTTTCATTAAAAATTGATATATTTTTGAAAAAATTTGAAAAAATTGAGTAAAATATTTCTCCTCCCCTCCCTCCTACCTCCCCTGCTCACATCTGAAAAGCCAGCCGTTCATATCCGACTTCCGCCCCTTTCTCTCCAGTTGCACGCGTAGCCGAGTGGCTAACGCACCCCGCTTTTGGTCAAGAGGTCCCAAGTTCGACTCCTCTTGGTGGCAAACTCTTTTTTATTCTTTTTTAAATCAAAATAAAACATTTAAAAAGACAAAAATCATCTTTAAGAACTGGAATTTCCAATTATTTTTCGTTTTCCAAAAGAGAAAACAGAATAGAAGAAAGTGAAAGAGAAGAAGAAGTGAAGGTTATTTATAAATAAAAAAGAAAAAGAAAAATGAATTAAACATTCAAATTAGGCGGGAAAGAAGAAGAGGAAGAGGGCAACCGGTTCTGTTTTTGGAATTTCGAAAAAAAAAAGAAAAAAACTTTTGAATTGGAAAAAATTTTGTTGTATAGAATATTCTGGAGCATTCTGTTTTCCGAAACGATCATTAAATATAATAATATAAATAAAGTGAGAGAGTATTGAGAAGAGGAGAGACGCAGAGAAAGAGAGGAAGAGGGTGGAGGGAGGAATAATTATAAAATGACTTATTGTATTAATATAATATAAATAATAATAGTATTCGTATTCAGATGCGAATATACACAAGTGGCAGATGTCTTTAAGGAAAAGGGGTGGATGGATTTGAAATTTTCGAAAAAAAAGTTTTCAAAAATTATTTTTCAGAATTTAAGAATTTCAGAATTTTCTAATATTTGAATATTATAACTCCAGAATTTTAGGGTTTTCGAGTTTAAATATTTCTGAATTTTGGAAAGGAAATTTTAAACTTTTTTCGAATTTCAGAATTTTAGGATTTTGGAACTTCTGAATTTCTAAATTTCTAAATTTCTGAATTTCTGAATTTTTGAATTTTTGAATTTCTGAATTTTTGAATTTCTGAATTTCTGAATTTCTGAATTTTTGAGATTCTGAATTTCTGAATTTCTAAATTTCTGAATTTCCGAATTTCTGAATTTCTGAATTTCTGAATTTCTGAATTTCTGAATTTCTGAATTTCTGAATTTCTGAATTTCTGAATTTCTGAATTTCTGAATTTCTGAATTTCTGAATTTCTGAATTTCTGAATTTCTGAATTTCTGAATTTCTGAATTTCTGAATCTTCGAAAGAATCTGGAAATTCCGAATACGTGAAATTACTGAAATTCTGAATTTCTAAACTTTATAGAATTTTTTGAATTTGTGATTCTAGAAAATTCAGAAAACACTAAACTTTTGAATTTTTTGTTTGAATTTCCAATTTTCCGAATTTTTCTAATTTTCTGGAATTCTCGAATTTTTGATTTTTCAGAATTCCCAGCATTTTCAGCATTTTCTGAAACTCAAGCTTTGAGATTCTGAAAGATTCTGTAATTTTGGAGAATTCGACTATTTCGAAATTAGAGGTTTTCCGAGATTTTCAGATTTTTGTGGCATTTGAAATTGAAAGTTTCAGCTTTTGAGATTTCGAAGATTCTGGAAATTTTAAAAAATTTGAAATCGCTCAAAAATTAAAAATTCAAAGAATTCAAAAGGTTAATTTTCGAAAATCGTGAAAATTTTTGAAAATCTGTCTGTCTGTTTGTAGGGATTTCCGTAAAATTTTGTAAACAAAAATAAAAAGTCATAAATGATAAATATATAAATAAAAATACAGTATAAACAGACAGAAGAGAGAGAGAGAGAGAGAGAGAGAGAGAGAGAGAGAGACGCAGAGAAAATTACAAATAATAAATGATCCTTAGGAATTAGTTATGGTCCACGAATTTTCCGCTTTTCCAATGCTAATGAGAAAAACAATCAAAAAATATTGAATAAAATCGTTTTATTTCCTCCTCCTTCTGCTCGCATTGAATACATTTGTGCATCTATTTCCGATTATACATTTATAATTTAAATTTGAAATTCGCGCCGACAGATGGTCGATGGGTTTATGGGTTTAATGATGGTTGTCATGAGGAGAGGACACTCTTTATTGTTACATTTTGCGGGGAGGGGGGACCAAAGGATTCGAATTCTCCTAAAACAAGGTTTATCCATCATTACCTAACAATAAAAAGTTTTAAAAAAGAAATTGCCACCAAGTGGGTTTGAACTCGCGACCTCTAGAACAAAACGCAGAAGCGCTAGCCGCTCGGCCACACGCGCATTAGAAAGTCGAGAGGCGGAAGGCGGATAAGAACGGGCGGGTTTCCGTGGTCGGCTAAGAAGGAGACGGCTAGCGAGGAGGAGGTGTGGGAATTAGGTAAAGTTCAAGAATCTAGAATTTTATAATATCTAGTAAATTTCAGGGTTTAAAAGTGCAAAAAAGACCCAAAACAATTCAAATTTTCCGCCAAAATTTTCCCAATGTCTTGGAAAACATTTGTTAAAATTGGAAAACCCCCCAAAACAAAGACCAAACATTTTAAATGAATTTTGCAAAATCTCATCAAAAGAAAACCCCCAAAATTAATTGAAAATTTTGGAATTTGTTTGGCATTTTTCGGGGGATTTTGGAATTTCAGATTTTAAATTCCAAATAACGAAACAATTTTCAAATGAAAGATGGAATTTTGCGAAAAAAAGAAGGAAAAAATATATTTATGACCTTGAGGAGGCAGATGTTTACAAGAGGAGAAGGAGTTGAAGGAATGGAATAATTGCTAAAAAGAAATGAAAATCATGTTTCGTTTCGGTTTTTAAATGTTTTGAATGTCTGGATAACTGTAGAAAATTTGGAAAAATTGAAAAAAAAACTTTAAAAGCATATATTCATCATTTCCTAATTTCAAAAAAACTATAAAAAAGAAGTTGGCACCAGGTGGGTTCGAACCCTTGGCCTCTAGAACAAAAGCCGGCGCGCTAGACAGTGGGCCACGCGCGCAACATAGGCAAAGTGAGGCGGAAGGCGTACAAGAGCGGGCGTGTTTCGACTACCTGGCGGCGTCTCATAATCTCGGGAGGCCAATTCCAAAAAATTCAAAATTATAGAAAAATCTGAAATTTTTTTTACAAAATTAAGAAAAAACCATCAAATTTTATAAATATTCATATTTATAGATTTCAATTTTTAAGAAAAGACAAAAAAAATTTTTGGAAAAAAAGAAATGACTAGAAGGAAATGGTTCTAGATAACCGCGAAAAGGAACGACCAATAATCACAAAAAACTAGAAATTTTAAGACGAGAAAAAGTGGGCGGAGTCAACAATAAAATGCCAAAAAAAAAGAAGGAAAATTGAAGGAGCAAAAGGATTTTAAAGGAGGCCAGACACCAAAAAAAAAAGTTTTCCTGATATTTTGCCTAGAGAACCCCCATGAGGGGTTGAACTCATGACAGGTAGCTCAGGGGCACAGCGCCGCTACCGGCTGAGCTACGGGGGCGCGAAGGCCCCTGACGACCGATGGTCTACATAACCGCGGCGCGATTTCGTCCCTCGAACTGCCCCCGAAATTTTTGCTGTCTCGCCTCCTTTAAGAATTTTTTTGAAATGTTTTTTTCAAAATTTCCAATCTGAAGGAAGATTTGAATATTGAATTTGTTCAAAATGGACATTTTTGGTTTAAAAAATTTCAAATTTAAAAATTCAAAAAAATTTTTCAATATTTTTTCTCAAAATTCTCATAATCCTTGTCTCCTCTTGAGATCAATTTGTGTGGATGAAGAATTTTTGATGGTTTTATATTCGCAAAAAGTCTCGATCTCTCAATTGATCGACGTCGCTGCTTGATTCCATTTGAAATCGCTGAACCATTCCCATTCCTCATATCTCCATTACTTCCTTTTGATGTTCGACTTTCAGCGGATTGTGCGCGTTCTGGAAATGGAAAAATTATTGTTTTTAAATCCTTTGTTAAGTTGATAACATTGTAAAAAAGTTTAAAAAAGAGTTTGCCACCAAGAGGAGCCGAACCCCCGACCTCTAGAACAAAACGCTGCAGCGCTAGCCACTCGGCCACGGGCGCAATTTGAGAGGAACAGGCGGAAGGCGGATAAGAACGACAGCGTGGTCGGCAGGGAGCCGCCTCGGCTAGGGAGGAGGAGGTGTGGTGGGAAGAAATTAGCATAAAGGCAGCCAATTATAATCAAATTTATCTCGGCTCCCATAAAAGATGTCAAAAAGTGATCAATCAACAAAATGTGTATAATTTAATGCTAAACATTTTATCAGTTGACATTTTTCCCCTATCTTAACAGAAAAGCAGATAAATCGGCACAAAGTTAAAACTCTATTTTTTACCTAAAAATGGTTATAATAAAGCTAGAAAAGTGGAATTTCAAACTGAATGCTTACCTCTCAACGTGCCAGCACTACTATCATGCGAGCTACTCGTGTTCTTGTCCATACTCGTCGACTTTTGTAGACTTCTCGCCGTATCGTAATCAGTATCACTACACTCGGCCTGAGCAATTGGCGCACGTGATTTGTCCTTTGGGGAGAACTGCAAATAGATAAAGAACTACAAAATCAGTTAGTGTGTGCGCAAAAAATTAGGCAAAATTTGTTAAATTTAAATTTTTGTTATTTTGGTTAAAATTATTTTTTAAAGTTAAAACTTTTAAAATGTTTGTATTAGATTTGTTAACTTGTTAATAAATTTTTCTATAAATTATTAAATTTCGAAAAAAATAAAATTCAAAAAAATCAAAAAAGATTTATTGAAAATATGTAGTTCCAGAACAATTGAAACATGAATTTCTTGATTTTTTTCCGAAAATTGAATTTTAAAAGGTCGCATAACCATCTGCCCACATTTCATCCAATAAGGGGGACCTAAAATATTGATTTTTGAAATTTTAGGATTTTCGCAAATCAATTTTTTGGTTTTTTTTCGGATTCGAACTCAAAAATTCCAAAAAATGAGGCAAAAATTGCAAAAATAACACATCCCATAGTTCCCTAACACTGTACAAAAAGAAGCATAGAATTTGGTACCAAGTGGGTTCGAACCCGCGACCTCTCGATCAAAAAGCGAACGCGCTAGCCACTCGGCCACGCGTGCAACTTTGAAACCTAGAGGTGGAAAGCGTATAAGAACGGCGGGCGGGCATTTCAAAAGGCGAGCGGCGCTGAAAGGAGAGCGCACGAGGAGAAATTGAACATCATATCTAGATCAGATAATCAGATTTTCCTATTTTTCGAATTTTAGACCCTAGAAGTCCTTTTTAAACTAATTTAATCAATTTTCAAAGCATTTTTTCACTCACCGGTCGAATCTTATCATGTTGAATGCGCTTGAAACTCGCTTTCTGCTCGTCAATCATCTCGTACAATCGATCCCGATAATCATCGATTCCCAATTGCACATGATCCGGTAGTGGTGGATAGACTTCATAATGGAGTGTCGGTTCCTCGGAAGGATTGTGGAATTGAACGACGTATGGGTGTACAAGACACTGCTCGACGGTTAGACGCTTCTGGGGGGCAAACACCAGTAGTCTGAAATGTTTTAAAGTTTAAATTATTTGATAATTGTGTAAAAATCGATTTTCTTTATTTTGGTATATTTTTTGCTATGCGCTTTTGAATATCTGCTATGTCTGCGTTTCTTTAAAGGCGCACAACTCAAAAAGGTGTTATACCATTTAAAAAAAGTTAATTACAGTAATGTAGGAAATTCAATTTTCTACCATTTGGTACAATTTTTTGGTCTTTGAAACATTTTAAGCCAAGTTATGCGCCTTTAAAGTTTTTCCGCGTCTGCGTTTCTTTAAAGGCACATATCTCAAAAACTATTAATACAGTAATATTGAAAATTCAATTTCCCAAATTTTGATATAATTTTTATAGACTTTCAACTGTTTTGAACAAAGTTATGGTAGAAAAACAAAACAAAACACAATTTCTGATTTTTGCATTTTTAAGGGTCATTTCCAGGTCATTTTTCCTTGTTGAACACGATTTTTAATTTTTTTAAACCAATTTGTACTCCTGAACATTCAAATTCAAAGTCCCCAACCTGGGAAAACTCTTACCTCTGCACCATATCAATTGCAGCCGTTTGACTCTGCGTAATAATCAAATCCAACGGTTTTCTGGGACGTTGGGGCATTTTCTCGAGAACACTCGCTGCGTAGTGACTTCCAATACTTGCGATATCTTGTCTTGACGGCTTTGTGATCGTGTTCATGATCCGTTCGATTTGATTGATCGTTGAGGAGCCAGGGAACAGAGCGCGGCCTGGAAAATGGTGGAGTAAGTTAGTTGAAAGGGGTAGTTAAAATCGTTGAAAGGGATAATTAAAATCGAGACGTTAGTTAACACATGTTTTATTTGATTGTAGCCCTTTAAATTTTACAAATTTCAGTGTTTTCGAACTTTCAATAGGTACAGTGGTTCTTGAGATATGTGCCTTTAAAAGCTAGTGTGCGTTTGGCGCTCGTTTTGAAAGGGGGGTGGGGGGGTCTTAACTTTAAACACGCATATCTCGAAAAAGTGAAACTACTAAAATGTAGCCCATAAAATTTTACATATTCCATTAATTTACTCCATTTTGATTGCTCAATTCGTTTTGAGCTACGCGCCTTTAAAGTTTGCGAGCTTCTCTATTGCGTGGGTGATGATGCGCGCCAACTTTAAAGACACATATCTCAATAACCAGTCAAGCTATTGGAAAGCTGTAAATTACAAAAATATAGATCATAAAATTCGATATACTTGGTTAGTAAAAAAAAATTGAGAACTTTCATAGTTTTTGAGATATGCGTCTTTAAAGTTGGCGCGCCGTTTCTCTGCGTCTCATGTGTCTTTAAAGTCAAAAGACTCTCCTTTTCAAAATTTCGCACTTACCAATCAACATCTCCGCGAGAATACATCCCAAACTCCACATATCCACTCCTTTGGTGTATCTTTTAGCAGCCAACAGGATTTCCGGACTACGGTACCATCTCGTAGCCACGTACTCGGTAAGATCCGGCATTTTTTGCCCTTCCGGATAGTCTTCGAGCTGGAAATGTCAGGTATAGTAACCAAGTTGGTACCGTAATCCTTACCGATGACAAGCTCCTAGCTAATCCGAAATCGGCCAATTTCACACGACAATCCGCATCGAGAAGAACATTCGAAGGCTTCAGGTCCCTGGAACACAAAAAAGTTCAAAATGCTTTTTCTTTTTTTGGGACAAAAAAGTACACAATTGTGAGGAAAAGATAAAAGACCATTGTGAGAGAGCAAGACTTCCGTTATGAAATGCTTCAAAAAACGCTTCAAAAAATGACGGAAGTACCCCTCGTGTGGGACACTTCCGGTCCACTTTTTTTGCAACACAAACATGATTGTCTGAAAATGAGTGATGCAATATTAAAAGGGGTATATCTTAAAAAAGGTCAAAGGTAGTTAAAAACTAAAAATTACAAAAATGTAAAACGTAAAATTTTATGCATTTTGTTAGTTAACTACTTTTTGATAGCTTTTCTAGTTTTTGAGATATGCGCCTTTAAAGTTATACATAGGACCCCCACCCTCACCCTGTGCGCGCGCCCTTAACTTTAAAGGCGCATATCTAGAAAAGAGTCAAAGCTAGCTTTTAACTACAATCTACAAAAAAGTAAAGCATACAATTTTCTTTATTATCCAATACTTTAAAGCTTCATTAGCTACAGTAGTGCGTGAGATATGCGCTTTTAAAGATGGCACGCTTACTGCGCCCTCCAGGTCGGCGCCGTAAGCTTAATGACTAACTTTAAAGGCGCATATCTCAAAAACTATAATAGCTATCAAAAAGTTGTTGACTGCAATATTACTTAACTTAAAATTTTACACACTTTGTTAGTTAACAACTTTTTAGTAGCTCTCTTAGTTTTTGAGTTATGCGCCTTTAAACTTCCAATACAGTTTGGTGGGGGAGGGGCGGTGTAGAGACGCAGAGAAAGCAGACACTCTCGTTTCTCTGCGTCTCTACGCTAAAACACACCCCTTATTCATCTTTGTTCTTGCAATTTCTTTCTAGAAAAAGGGATTAATTTCTTGTTTATCAAAAAAGAGAAAAAAATCTAGATGACGCCCCGGAAACTCCTGATGAAAATAAGGAAGTTTTTCAGCAGATTGGATTAGATTACGATTGCTCAGCTCCAAAAAATCATAAGGATTCTATCTAACCAACCTATGAAGCACATTTCCCGAGTGTAAAAACCGTATGGCTCGGAATAGCTGACACATGATATACTGTTTATGGACGTCCTTCAGAATCGAGCCCTTCTTGATGACGTTGTGAAGATCCGCTTCCATGAACTCGAATGCCAGATAGATGTCCCTGAAAACGAAAACTTTCAAAAAAATTTCGCCGAGGAGGCCTTCAAGGCGCCTCTCAACTCTCAAAACGCCCCCGCTCTGATACGCCTTCCGCCTCCTTATCTTCATATTGCACGCGTTGCCGAGTGGCTAGCGCGCTCGCTTTTGGATCTAGAGGTAGCGGGTTCGACTCCGCATGGGATCAAATTCTTTTTGATGTTGCTTAAGGGGTAGAAAACACTTTTTGACCAACCTATCATTATCCGCTCGGAATATATTGTACAGTTTAATGACATTTGGATGCTTTCCAAACTCTTGCAGAAACATCACTTCTCGAAACGTCCGTTGTGAATCTGTTGGGTTTCGGAACGCGTCGAAGATCTGGAATTTGAGAAATATAATTTGCAGTTGACAACTTTTTGATTGCTCTCATAGTAACAGTTTGAGAATTGATAAAAAAAGAAAATTTTAAGCTGAGAAATTTTGTTTTTAGCAATTATTTGATTGCTCTGATAGTTTTGGAGATATGCGCCTTTAAAGTCAACAAGCTTACGGCGCCGATATGGAGGGCACTGTAAGCGCGCGCCAACTTTAAAGGCGCACATCTTATGAACTACGGTATCTATCAAAATTTCGAAAATTAGTAAAATGAAGAACATTTTATGCTGAGCAATTTTGTAGTGAACAACTTCTAGCTAGCTATCCCGTTTTTCAGATTTCTTACCTTTTTCAACGCAACCGTCTCCCTGGACCGTTTGTCATAGGCTTTCCACACGATTCCATAGGCACCTTTGCCCAGTCGTTTCTGAAAATTTCGGGATTTTTCATATTTTGGAACATTCTGGAACATTCTAGAAGGCTCTAGAACATTCTGGAACATTCCAGAAGCTTCCCGAACCCAATTGCTCACCTGTAATTCGAATTTCTCATGGATATGTGCATCCACGTCATCGGTCATTTTCATTGGATTTTTTGGTCCTTTTTCCGGAACAAAGGTACCCGTCTAGAAGTGTATTTATATGGGGTATGTGGTCAGCTGAAAAAAAGACGAAGTAATAATAATGGATCCTGGAAAACAAAAGAAGAAAAAGGTAGAAAAAAAAGTAAGAGCATCGATTAAAGGGACAGACAGAAAAGAAGAAGAAGAAGAAGTAGAAGACGTTGGCTGGTAGGGAGAAGAAGAAGACGTCGTCATGGTGACAGAAAAGAGGTTTAGAGAAAGAGAGAAGAGGGTGAGAGACGCAGAGAAAGAGAGAGGAGAAGCTGGAAGGGTGGGGAGAGAGAGAGGTGTAAATAAGGGATGTTTTGTTTTGCTAGCTTTTAGGAAATTCAGAAAATCTGAAATTCTGAAAAAAATCCGAACTTTGGAAATTATGGAATTTTCGGATTCAACATTTTTTCTAATTTTTTTTTCCAAACTTGTTATATTTACACAACTGCTCTTCAGTTTACATTCCATTTGTTTCACTTTTTGATTAGCCGGAAATCTACTTTAAATGAGACGCAGAGAAACGAGAGTGTCTCGCTTCTCTGCGTCTCTGCACCTGGATTAGAGATACTGTAACTTTAAAGACGCATATCTCAAAAACTGAAACAGCTATAAAAAAGTTGTAAGCTGATGAAATCTGAAACAATTTATGCTCGATATTTTTTAATTGACTACTTTTTGATAGCTACTACAGTTTTAGAGAAATGCGCCTTTGAAGTTAGTTAAACTCCCTCAAAAGTGTATGCTAACTTTAAAGGCGCACACCTCAAAAACTAGAAAAGCTATCAAAATTTGTTAACTACCAAATTACTCAGCATAAAATTTGGCACATTTTTGTAGTTGACAACGTTTACCCAGCTTTTCTGGTTTTAAAGATAAACCTCCTCAAAATTTGATCTCAATATTTTTTTAGCAAAAAAACAAGTAAATCCAACCAACCCACTCAAAATAATCCAAATCCTCAAGAAGATCTCTGAAATCATTAGAAAAAAGCTTGAATAAGTTTTTTCAGTCATTTTTTCTCTTCTTTTCTCTGCGCGCTAGTTTAGAGGCGCATATCTCGAAAACTATGATAGTTATAAAAATTTTGTCAACCACAAAATATTGAGCATAAAGTGTTTCATATTTTGTAATTTACAGTTTGTTGATAGCTACATTCTAAAATTCTAAAATTCTAAAATTCTAAAATTCTAAAATTCTAAAATTCTAAAATTCTAAAATTCTAAAATTCTAAAATTCTAAAATTCTAAAATTCTAAAATTCTAAAATTCTAAAATTCTAAAATTCTAAAATTCTAAAATTCTAAAATTCTAAAATTCTAAAATTTCCAAAAAGTGTTCAAAACTCAAAAAAAAATTCCCTTCCAAAAAAACGGATAAAAAGTATATCCAGTATTCTCAAATTTCCACCTCAATGAGCACCACACCAAACTTCAATTTCCCTAATTCCTCTAAAAACGTTTTGGCGCCAAAAATCGAATTTTCAAAAAAAAATTCAAAAAATCAATTTTTCAGTCTGGAAATGTCTGGAAAGTCAGAGCCAAGTGCTCAAAATTGAGTAGATAAAAATGGTTGATTCAATATTTTTTTTCCTAAGAATTAAATTATTTTTTCCTAATCAAATCCAAGAAAAATCGAAAATTTGATTTTTCTGGAAATTTCTTATTTACTCGGAAAAAAGAAAAAGATTTCTTGTGGGATTTTTTTTGGATTTTAAGTGATAAGAGAAAAAAAATGATAAGGATTAGAAGAAGAAGAAGCTAGATTAGAAGCTTAAGATGTTTTTTTTTTGGAAATATCAGTATATCACTCACTGGAAAATAAGAAAAAAAAATAAGGAAGAAAAATGAAAAAAATCTGAGAAAAAGAAAAAAAATAAGCGGAATGAATGGGAGAATGACATGGAATGGACGTCATTAGATTAGCCAGAAATCAGGAATTGAAATGAATTTTTGGAAATTTTCAAAAAAAAATTGTTTGACAGTTTTTCAGGCTTTTGCATGATTATGCAAAAATTGAGATTTTCAACTTTTAAGATTTTTTATAATTTTTCTGATTTCGAAATATTCTGGATTTCTGAATTTCTGAATTTCAAAAACCGAAGCACATTTTTTTTTTCAAATTTTCCAAAAAAGGAAAATTAGTGATGCAGAAAGGGAAAACTAGGTACATTTCATATATGTTTTATATGTATATTTACACTTGGAAAAAATGAAAATTGATACTTTTTGGAAAATTGGAAGGAATTTTAAATTTTGAGCAAAAAATTTGGAAGTTTCGAAACTTCAAAATTTGGATAAAAATGGGTCCAAATGTTATGGAAAAAAAAACATAATGAATAAAACTGGAATTCAAGAAAAATCGAAAAAAAAATGGTTTCGAAGTTTTTTTTGTATTTTTTTCCCTTCAAATTACATATTCTGGATTTGTTATTTTTTCTCACATAATCATAATAAGATGACTAATTTTCCTTCTTCTTCCACTACTACACTAAACCAGTTCCACCCATATTTTCTGTACTTCTTTTTCTCTGCGTCTCTCTCTCTCTCTCTCTCTCTTTCTTTCTTTCTTTCTCTCTTTTTTTTCCGCACGGCTTCACAGATTTTTATTATTCTCTAATTACTTTTACCTGCACTATTCACAAAAACACAGAGAATGCTTCTAGAATATGTTAGTATTTATTAGGGTACAAGAGTTTTCAATTTTGAATGAAATTCAGAAATTCGGAAATTCAGAAATTCAGAAATTCAGAAATTCAGAAATTCAGAAATTCAGAAATTTAGAAATTTAGAAATTCAGAAATTCAGAAATTCAGAAATTCAGAAATTCAGAAATTCAGAAATTCAGAAATTCAGAAATTCAGAAATTCAGAAATTCAGAAATTCAGAAATTCAGAAATTCAGAAATTCAGAAATTCAGAAATTCAGAAATTCAGAAATTCAGAAATTCAGAAATTCAGAAATTCAGAAATTCTGATATTCAGAAATTCAGAAGTTCAGAAAATCAGAATCTCTATTTTGGAAATCACAGAATTTGGGATCTTAAAATCGAAATTTCAGATATCTACTTGAAAAAATAACCGTTAAAAAATATAAAAAGCAAAAAAAAACTAGTAAAAGGTAAACGTATGCTGGGTGGAAGGAAAAAAAGAAGAAGAAGAAGAAGAGTGAGAGCCTGGGTGCTCCATTTGGAGCACCCGCATGGAGCACACCTGGTGTGTGCTCCTCCCACTTCTGACACTCTTCTTCTTCCTATGAATTCTGAATATTTGGACACATAGTTTTAGAGAAAAAGAAGAAGAGGAAGAAGAAGAAGACGAGTCAAACATAT